CCTAATAGCGATGGCCTCCAACCTAATAGCGATGGCCTCCAACCTAAAAGCGATGGCCTCCAACCCAACAGCAATGGTTCCAGAGAATTCACCAAACTCAATACCTGTCCATTTTCTGGTTCCCTTCCGCTCAGTTGGTCCAGGCGGCTCATGGCTTGTCGAAGCGCCCACACAGCTGATGGATTTTGATAGGGGTGCTGGGCGTCATCGATGCTCACGCGATCCTAGTTGTGACTGTCAGGGGCCCAAGCAAACAATTGGATCTATGCCGCGTCCACCAAAAAGGTATGTATAGAAAGTCATCAATGTCATCTGGATATTCAGAAATATTGGATCAATTGTCAAAACACTGTGAACCCCTGGTGATGCACAATGTTGGGAGATGAAAAATGACTACAGCTACTTTTCATTGAAGCAGGTGGCAGGGCGGGAGTTTGTTGGAAAGCATCTGGTCCCAAAACTGCTCAATGGGGACCATTCTGCTTTCTTCAGACCTGGCATCATGGGTATTAACATTGTTAACATAGAATAAATCAACTGCTTGCCTCGCCATGCGTTCGTTGTGGGTGATCGACCAACCCACAACCCGCAGCTTTGACCTTCCCTTCAACCATGCTCTGAGCAACTGGGTTGTAATCCAAATCCACAAAGTGCCAGGTATCAAACCTGAGAACGATCACAGGTTCTAAGCGCAGCTTACCCCACACCCCCCAAAGTTTGATAGCTCCAACTCAAACTGGTCAAACCACATATATATATATACATGTGTGTGGCTATGTCCTTGACTCTATCATTGTATTCAATGAAATTGCTGCCGGTTCACCGCATAGTGACGTACCTGGAATTGGATGAAACATCCACCCGTTTGGTTCAATAGGCAGACATGTGCCAGGAGTCTCCTTATGCGCCTCGCAACCAGTGTGTTTTGTGTGCAATGTACCCTTTAAAGGGATACGATTCAAGACTGGTTGAATTTGGTGATGTTCTTTTGCACAGCGGAAGTCTTCAACTGTGGTGAAGGTCCAAGGTAGTCGATCCAAAGGCACTCTAAAGGAATGTAACAGAATATGCCAAATCAGAGGAGCGACGCATTGAGGCTTGTGGCTGGTAGGCCCAGGCAAGCTGGCGCTTTGCTGTTCGTGCACTTGATGTGGTCCGGCCACACCGCACCTTGGATCCGTTGACTCAGACTTAACAGAAATCTAAGTTTTTGCTGAACGCCCAGCTCTACTTTAAGGTTGATATCTCGAAAGCAAGTCCCAAGTTCAGGGTCTCAGGCACTGCTCACGAAGCTCGACATGCCGGGAAAGTCCCTCGACCAGCTCGAAAGAATGTCTTCCAGGGTCGCTACATGCGCTTCCTCCAACTGTGTTTGAGCCATCCGCGCCACCAGCATGTGACCTGTGTCCAACCATCCCTGCACCACAGGGCAAACGACGATGCACAAGCTCGAACACAGGCCCATGGCAAGGTTCATGAAAGAATGACTTGGTTGGTGCGGATATGAACTGCATTGAACTGCAACACACTTGATCCTCACCTACTGTACCTGTGTATGTCACATGCTAATAGAGCGATGGAATTCAGCCGTCTGTGGCTACAACATTATTGCGGATGTTGTATATTAGATTCCAATCTTTTAGATGACATGACGTGCGCATGGGCACTCGAACTGCTGTGTTCATATTTGGGGTTGGTTCAAAGCAAAGAACACCAACCACTAAACAAGTATCTGTCTGGCAGCCTGGCATACTTCTGTGTAATTGCTCCTGGCTCAAAGGCTTGATGTCACACTCTCAAAAACATTCTGGTGTCTACTGTCCCCTCGCTGCCAGTACAGTGTGGTTGAACCAATGGGCTCATCTCCGCGCGGTCTGAGCCTTCGATTCAAACCATGAAGTGGTACAGCTGTGCGCGGGGCAGTGATCAGCAGCGAGCTGACTCAAGTCAGTGTGGAATAGTGTGGAATAGCATCCATTGATAACCCCCGCTCAGTGCAGCGTAAATACGTAAGCCGAAGTACGGTAAGAATTCTTCGTTTCTGAGTCGTCGGCTCTAGTTGACCCAGCTGCAGGACCTCCCACAAGCTACCAATCTCCATACCGAACTGAGAACAAGTGGGAGACCATTCAGCCGCACATCCTGCGTGGCCGTCTCAAAATGGGCAACATGCCCCGTTATGCCACAAATCAACATGCCCTGCTACATCACAAATGTATACATGGAATGGATTGGAATGGAAGACTCTACCAGCCCCACTGCAACGTTGTATGGTATCCTATGGTGTGTGCGCCGGGTGCACTGCATGTATGTAAGCTTTCGGCACGAGCGTTGGGCACAATTCAATCTTCTCAAAATGAAGGGAAGAGTGAAGATCTGTATTTTTGCAAGAGGATTCTGTCTTTTTCCTTCTTGAGGATGCTACTTTGTGCCATGCGTTTATATAATGCGTTCCAAAAGCTTTCAACCGTCCTCCACCGAGAGCCGCGTCAACATCGCACAATTTGACAACGCCTTTCCTGATCTTGAGGGACTTGATGCTGAAATAGGCCAAACACTCTGCACCTCGACTTCGGTGCAAACAAGGCCAAACACTGGTAGTGCTGCCTGCAGATGCGGCACAATCGGCATGCTTTTGCGTTTTGAGGAATCTTCCGGAGGAGGGGCGCAACCAACCCAGGAACTGCATGATGGGTACAAATGCTCATTTTGAGCATGTCATCACATCCTTAAAAGTCTCCCTCCAGGTTGGCGAGCTAGTCTTGGGCAACTTGTTACGCAGTCAGAGTTTGGCCAAGAGAAGCAAAGGGTGTCCATCTGTTTGTCCACGTGATTTCTGAGAAAGGTTTGGGGGTTGAGACTCCAGCCTCGGCAACCAGGCCGAATGGAGAGAGAGAGAGAGAGGATAAGCATTGCGTGAGGTGAGATATCTACCACGTGTAACCATGAGGAGGATGAGACTGAATCACTTTGTATCTGGATAGTTCTCAGTACCTGAGGGATTGCCGAATGCTCTGATCACTCAAAAAGCTTGAATGAATGACATTGTGTTACGCAGAACGCTTACACCACGAACCTATAGAACGAACTTCCACATACATGCTGAAAGCTCAAATAAAATTGCTCAGCCGCACCTGCGTCAGGTTCGTCTCAGTAACTTGATCGCGCTGAATCCTTCGCGGTCACGTGTCGACTCCGAGGAAACTCAAAATTCTGCATGGATTGTTCTTAACAACATTTTACCACCACCATGCCATGTGCCACTCAACATCACAACTGAGCATTGCCTTATGTTGATGCAAGCGTTCAGTTTGTCTTCCCATCCCCAATGACATCATGTGCCTATACACATCGTTTGGGTGAGTTCCCTTTGCCGATCTAGCCCAAATCAGGCTCCTTCACCAACGGGCCATGCGACGCAGTACAATCCATCCTCCATCTCTTCTTCTCGCAGAAGGCTTCCGCAAATCCACTCGTGCCCAGACAATGGGGGGCCCGGCATTAGACGAAGAGCACTTAAGAGCTTCGGTAGATTCCACAGATGTCTATTGTATATGTTTATACCATTATATATATATATGGTCACGCCCCCGCCCAGAACCAACCTTTGCAGCCAAAAACACTATATATATATATACTATTATATACTACCCTCCAAATCCTCCAAACGGCGGAAACAAGCAAAAGTGCTGGCGTCATTCTCTGATTTGTAACACCCATTGTCTGTTCTAGGGGCTTCGAGCTTAACTGCTGCGCAGTCCGCAGTCTTGGAAAGTGCTCTGCCATACACCTTCAACCCCCAATTAACCAATCAGCTGATGGTTACGCAAAAAGGGAGCAGGGTTACTGATTCCTCTTGACCAAAGGTCTGACACTCCTTGAGCACAGCTGTGGTCCATATGTTTCGCCTATCATTTTCGCGCATTGGCACAAGTTGGCAATGAGATCTGGCCACGCAGAGCCGACCGACCGTGCGCTTCACTCGCAGTTGGATGATGGCGCTTTCCTTTACAACACGAACATTGTACAAGTCCTCCGAAGATCCAATCTCACAACTGGGAAAGCAGACAGGTTGGCTGACGGCCACAAGACATACATGCTCAAACACGATCTGGACATCTGAAAACTCGCACGAGCCACGATCTGGTCATCACGCTTGGCAACATAGAGCGCAAAGGGGGACTCTCTGGAATTCATTAGGATTCAATCACCGATGCAAAAATGGACTAAAGAACTGTCAATGAATTAGGATCGTTTGGGTCAATGATGCGTCATGTGTCTTCGAAGAGTGATCGTTCAAAGGCTCGTGTGGGACCAGGAGTGTTTGCGCAGAAGATTCAGCAAAGACATTTGTTGAGTCTTCGTGAAACGAGGAGGAGGTCGTTTCACCCACTCCCAGGGATTTGCAAACTCCGTCGACTGTGGTTCGCATGCCGCAACTGGTGCTACCCTGTCACATGCAAAGATCGCTGTGCAGAGTCATTCTGCTCTTCTTCAAGCCAAGTCTTCCGCTCGCCATTGTCCCACCTCACAATTTTGTGACCGAAATATCCGACCTGCCTTGTCTGCTTCAACCGAAAATGGAATAGAAATATAAGTTTCATGCATGAGAGCGTAGCCAAAGATATGGCGCTCAGACGAAAAACGGATAAGCATTCACTCAACAACCATGAACCTCTAGGTCACCATGTTTGTTTCATGGGATCCACGCCCAGGTAAGCCAAGCGATCCGTTTGGCTCCGAAGCTGAGCTTTCAACTGGGCCAAGCGATGGCTACCTTGGGCATTGCACAAGCGACCGATGCCATGCTGGCGGCCTCACAGGACCGTGACCCGGGCACCACATGCGGACGCCCACCGACGAGGATGACCTCTTTCAGGAAAATGGAGTTTCAACCAAATGTCTAGATAGAAAACCACCTCTCTGCCATCATTGATTTTTTTCTATTGATTTATCTTAACCGAACAGGTATTCACATGCGTCTCGGCACGAATGAATCTTTGGAGCTCGCCTTTGCACCAGAAGCCTTCGTAGCGGCGGCCATCCGCCTTCGTCAGTCACGTGACAAACTCTAGGCGTTGGATGATTGCTTGTTCTCGGTGTGCGGCCCAGGTGAAAACACCAAAGCCGTCCTTCTGGTCTCTGACATACTGCCCCTGGCGGAGAATGCACTAGAAACTCAACGCAACCAAACGAACCAGAAAAACGAGGCGTCGGGCTGGATGGTTGGTTCAAGAAGCCTGCTGATCTGCACATTCCGATGGCTTTGCGTCGATTTGGCTTCTAAAATGTCCATGTTGTTCGTTAAGCAGAAAGTCTCTCAACAGAAACTCTCCAGAATTCTCAAGAGTTACTTGGTTGGAGGGGTTCTTCTTTTTCCTAGCTCCTTTCTTGAGAAGGATAAGCACTCTATATATAATATGTATACATATATGAAAGGATTGAAAGGTGTCACTTCGCAAACACGATCGTACTCATACGGGCTGCTTCGACGAGTTGTTCGTCTTCAAGGCCCTGTGGGCACCTGGTAGCAGCGGCCATCGACCTCGTTGGCAAGCAAACGTGCTTGGAAAGCCCTGCCATCGAGAAGCACTGTTGGTTCTGCGATCGGGAAAGCTTTGGCAGTTCTGGACCTAAACCAGGGTCACCATTGTCACCTCCACATTTGGGCTCCTGACCCATTGGTAACTCCCGCAGCCATGCATCGTCGAGGCCTCAAGTTCGCATGACAGCCATCGAAGGAAATTTGGAAGTTTGGAAAATTGAGCGAGTCACCATCCATCGACCTCGATACTTCCTGCCATCGACACCCGTGTAGATGCCTAGCGATGGCGACATCAGGTGCCAAGGCTATTTCGCAGGAAGATCAAGCGAGGCAGCTGGACCACAACCGTCGATCATGTTCATGCACCACTGCCTCCAAAGCCAGGAGTAGTAGATGTCTAATCAAATGTGGTTTTGGTGTATTGAAAATCCGTTGAACACTGAAATCCTGAAAGAAAGCGATGATGTCCAAAAAAGACATGCGAATCCAATACAGTCCAACAACTTGGAGCAAAAAGAGCTGACACCCCTGCTGACTGCCACTGGGATCTGAGCCCCAGATACTTTGATCCGTCCGGCCAGCGGTACTCCTGGCGATCAGGAACTGGCACAGCAATGAGTCAATGCAGAGTGTCCGCGCGCTGTAAGTGCAAGTCTGACAGAGACTCTCCTACACCTCCCTAAACGCAGGAATCGACAAAGGTTTCTTGCAATCCGGTTTCAATTCTGCCCGGCCGCACCCCACTTCCACTCTTCTTCCCACGCGAGAACTCCCCAATGAATTGCGACTGGTCGGGCCAGGTCTCAATCGCAAAGCCATCCTCTCCGCGAGCATCGCGCATTTGAACAGAGCTTCACTCTGTGCTTTGTCTCAGGCTTCATCCTTCTCAACATGTTGGGACTAGAGAAGGAAGAAAATAAGGCCTTGGAAATCTT